TTTCTTTACGGTAGCTGGCTCCCCGCCGTCGTTCACATAGCTGATCTTTGCCAAAGAAGAGACGAGTTCTTAGAGATAGAACGAAGGTTTACTTACATGACGGAGGAGAAAAATACTGTACAGCGAATCCGCTCTTATGTACAAAAGGTCTTCGGCTTTTATAGCCCGTTAATTCCTTACAAGAATGTCCGAAAAAGCCGCTGACCCCTCTTGTCATGAATCAGGTCACGTGAAGTCTCAGTGATCCATCCACCAGAAATTGACTCGGTGGATGAGGAACGTATGGGCGAAAATTTCAAATGGGTAGCACGAGCGCACCACACCACGAAGCACCCGGCCCACGCCTTGAAGACATCGAAGGGTGAGGAGGTAGACTCCGATGGAGGGAGAAAGTTCAGCTCCTCCGGAGAGGTGACCACCGACATGATCCTCAGCAGCGGTCCATGGCTGCGTTCAGCTACAGTGTTCGAGAAGTTTGTTTGATATTACATTTATATGTGTGGTTAACGTCCCTAAACCACCATACCATTATGAGAGACGCCATTGCAGGAGGACTCCGCAAATTTAGACCAAGTGTTTCAGAAGTTTCTCGAACAAGGCAATTTAGCTTAACAATGGCCACATCAGCTACCAGAATGCAAAAAGGCGGTCGATATGCATTCACTGATTTCTTTTTTTTTCTCAAGGAGGCTGACGAAGGCTACATATTTTAGGGGCGAAGCTCTTTAAGGCGTGGGTCTTTCCATCCCTTGTATGTATGTATGTAGTACTACACGTACCAACCGGTGGCACATAACCACTCTAGAGCAGGTATGTGCCGCAGGCGATGCTAGACGGAAGATGGCGATACTTGGAGTGGTCGCTAGATGGACGCACGAATGGACGGACAGACAGACTAGCAGACGGATGGACGGATAGATAGACGCACGGACGTACAAATAGATGGACGCACGAACAGACAGACAGACAGACAGACAGACAGACAGACAGACAGACAGACAGACAGACAGACAGACAGACAGACAGACAGACAGACAGACAGACAGATGGATGGATGGATTGACTCAAGGACAGACCCACGGACAGACGGGTGGACGCATGGATGGACGCATGGATGGTCGCGCGGACGGACGGAAGCACGGACAGGCTGACAGACGGTTCGTCAGACTCATCATCATTCACTCCGTGGATGTGCTGTAATTTTTAATTAGCTACGTAGAGCATTTATTGCCTGTATAAAAAAATGTTTTGCTTAACACGTGTGAACAAGAAAGTGTTCTCTAAGTTGACCTAGCTCATTTCAGACAAGACACTTCGTAAAGGAGGAAAACGAGCAGTCTATGCTGAGCTGATTAGTCATACACATCAATTTGCAACACACTAGTTAACTGCATCAACCAGAGCGTAGCGGCTGATCACTAAGCAACTACGCAGTTTGGTACGGAAACAACGCACTGCCCAGCGCCATGCAAACGACCGAAAAGAAAGTTTGCGACAAATACCATGCCATTTAAAATCAATCCTCTCGCCCTGTTCTCTGGTACAAATGATGAATGGCGTATCTCATTACCAAGATGCCACTGCTGTAGTAGCATGGGAAAGAAATTGCGGCACAGAGGAGTTGTGGCAAGCTTTCCAAATGTTGACGCCTTTCTATTGGACTCATATGTATCGAGTATATGCATGATCTTTCTAGGTAATACGTCTGCACTGGAATTGCCGGTGTCGCCTGCGACAGCGGTACTCCGATAGCAGCTTCAGAACAGAAAACTGTCACATCGTTTTCTACCCTACGTATATAACTGACGTTTGTCCCGACGTGAAACTGCCGCTTGTTGCACTTTACTATAAGCTAGCCTTTATAGGCGTCACAGTGTTGTCAAAATGCCCTATACACACGCTTCACACCCACAACTACTCGACTTGACGAGCATGTTTGTGTCTTTTAGGAAAGGACCATGCCTGAGCTCTGAAGAATGTCATTTAATAGGCTCAGTGTAGGCTGACTGTTATTACATCAGAAGGCTGAAAGAGAATATGCATATCTATGCGTACGGAGCAGCCTTTCATGTTTCCTGTTTCGCACACGTCATGCGCCAACTCTTTGGGCAAGTGTTCTAAACAGTAGTTTTCTTAATATCTGTGATTACTGGAGTGCCTGTCAGAGTTCATTTGAGTTGTTCTTAAGACGGCACGGACGCAGTTCGGGCACACTTGAGTTCATTGGTATCAAAGCATAGTACAAAGCATCCATGGTGCGCTTAGATGAGTCCAACAAAGAAAACGCACTGATGCATGTGTATACTTCAAGAAACAATTGAGTATCTCAGGAGTTTGCATTTTCACCATGAAACTTCAATCATTTTCGTCACATCATTTTCATCACTTTTCATCCGTTCAATCATCATTCTCGTATGACAGCGTCGAGAGCCGGGTTTTCAAGAAACAAAATGAACAGTCCGAAAGACGATTCTTATTGTCGTGCATAAATACCCCCCTCCCCTCCGAATAATACCTTTATTTTGTATATTGTGAAGCGGTATGAGCCTTGGCACAGGAGAATAAGAAGCATAAGAGCACGGGCAGGAAAGAAGAGAAGGATGATATAGAAGATTAAGATGGACGCCAGTTTTGTACTGAAGTTTTAATGCTGTTCCGTTCATTTAAGTAGGAACACTATATTATTTTGGCGCAGCCGGCCAACGAAGCCAACATGTGGGTGACGTTCTTTGTTGACGAAAGCTCCGCGGACAAGGTCATCTTTTCGAAGTACCAAGTTCAAGATGAAGCAGCGGTGGACCTACCTCGTGAGCTCTGCTCGGAAGAACTCGTAAACCTGGTTGTGGGAAAGGCAGCTGTGGGCACTACTGAACTACGACGGAAAGGTGCTGTAAAAGTGAACTTTCGTGTGGTGACCTTTTACAAACTAGTTCTTGAACCAGCGTGTCGAAGGGACTCAGGATCAAGGTGTTTGATGGAAGAGGTGAGCTTCGTTTTGAAAGCTCTTCAGCTGCAACATGAACAGGTTGTGCAGCAGAACCAAATAATGACATTCCTTGTAAGCTTTCTAAATGCTGAGAAACCGGTGCCTAAATGCGTAGAGCCTGATGCCTTTGACGGTATGTCTTCAGGTCCAGAAAGCTGGCTTGAGTTGTACGAATATTACGCTGAGCAACAAAAAAAAAAAAAAAAAAACAGGTGGCTCTCTGATGAGGATAAAAAAGAACTAACATTCCTATTGAAAAAAAAAACAAAAAAAAAAGTCCGCGCCACTGGGTACCAGCGTCTAGCGCCATGCCTGATTATGGGCCCAGTATGGCGGTGGTACCAGTGCCTCCCTGCGCAGGTAGTGGGACGCTGGAGTGGCAGCTTTCTTGTACTCTGTGCGAAATGGCTTCACAGGGTTAAAACGGGGGTGCCAATTCACCATAAATAAATATATATAAAATTAACATAATGAAACATACCTTGACGGGATTTGAACTCGCCACCTCCTGATTTCGAAATGAGTACGTTACCCATTACACCACGCCGTGGGTTTGTAAAATGACTATGTATCCGAAGAACACGCCGTTCAACTTCATGTTTACAAGTCGCTGAGTCTAGACTGACACAATATTCCTTTCCAAATAACAATTGGGTCTTGATTCCACAGTGATGAACGGCTTCCGGGCACCGAATGACGTGCGGATATTAGCAACAGCGCAAATTTTTTTGAAGCAATCACATCTTAACTCTGAAAAATCTCAAGTTAACTGGAGGAGCAGCCACAGATTGTCAGCTGTTGCTGCCGATTGTTTTTTTCCTTCGATAGTTGGTTCTTGCACTTGCTACTGGTCAACATGTACAGATGATATAAAGGCCTCTTTCGGTAGATATCCACGCACAAGAGTGAATATTGAGTATTTTTTTTTTGCGCAAGCGACGACTTTGACAAGAGGCATCGAGCAGACATTCCAGACATTGAAGTCACCGACCTCGTACAAGTGAGGAAAGGAGTAAGAGATGATGGTGCCAAATTTTACGTTCCTTACTATGTGACCAAGACAGCCACCCAGAACGAAATTTCGAAGGCTGTCTGGTACACTGGTGAACGTGGATCAGTTGAATGTGCTTCAATTGGAAATGTCTTCAAATATTAGCCCAGGAGGGGTATTTAAAAGAAACCGGGAAAGGTGAAGTGGTATGAGCCTTGGGACCAGAGAAGAAGCACCAGAGATGGGGCAGGAAAGAAGAGAAGGATGAAGTTAGGAATAAAGCACATTAAGATGGACGCCAGTTCCATACTGAAGCTATAATGCTGTTTCGTTCTTATAAGCAGGAACACTACATATTGTAGTCAATGTTATAACACTCCGTCGCTTCCCGTAATAAGCGGAGTCAACACGAATCGTCATACACATGCCGGCAGAATCACAATGGCGCCAGATTCTCTATAATACATTAGGAAGTAACACGTTTTGATTTACCACAAAAGGGGGCTCTTAAAGTAATACTTGCCGTTTTTTAAGTAGTGTAGCCTGCAGGTCTGGCAAACATAGAAAAAAATTGTATTTGGGTATTACGATTGCTTTAAACAGGAAAGAATACATCATTGTTATAAGTTAGGCTGAAGCAGAATAAGTTACTAATGAAAGTGTTACATTGTGGGTTTTTCAGTTGTGTAACGCCTAGGCTTAGTTGCGGTTTAGTTTTGCTCAGAAGGCATATCTTATGAAGTGTATTTTTTAGGCACGAATATTTTATGTCTCAAGAATAGTGCCACCCTCGGAAGCAGTGTTGCAGGCTCTGGACTGAGCGAGTTTTTCTTCCTTCGAGACCGAAAGATGGAGCGCCTGCAGCGAGATGCGCTCATTCTTCCTCGGAACCTTGGAGGCTTCGGTCTCCCGTGTATTGGTACGACAGCGCAGCTGCTCGCACTCAAGACAGTGCTGGGAATTTTAGGCGACGCGAAGGCTCCAACAAGGCCACTCGTCATGTGTTTTTTTCTCGGCCCGCAGTGCAGAGTGCTGGTCGCCCGAGCACTGAGAAATCTGTACCCGAGTGCTGAGTGCACACCACCCTACTACAAGGCGCTTGTGGCGCTCTCTCAGGAACTCACAGCTTCGAACCCGGACCTCTACCTGTAAGAAATTGCCCCAGCACGGTTGTGTGAACAGCTGGTCTCTGCCAGGGGTACACTAAGACGCCCGCCACCCACGTTCCCATGGCCTGAGTCAACGTCGGGCAAGCTACCAAAAGGGGTAGCTGGCCTGCAATGGCAAAGAGGCTGGTGAATCCTGCCCACTCTAGAGCAATTACAGCGTTGGGGGATGGTGCAGTCCACCAGGTGCCCCAACGGCGGCAACACGGAAACCGCGACACACGCGGTCTCAACTTGTGTGGTGGCAAGAACTTTCTTGCTGCTTATCCACACAACCATGCCCAGCCTGCGTGTCGCTCACTATTATACGAGAAACCGATTCCCCCAGGATAAACTTGGTCGATTAGTGATCGCCGCTGGTGAATTTGTTTTCTGGCGAATCGCTGCAGGATGGTCGTCCGACGGCAACGCCTGCGGCTCCAGTGGCCACTACTATCTCGGTTTCGAGAGAAGCTTGTATGTTTTCTGGAGTCTCAGCTTGCTGAGATACTGGCCTTGCCCTTTCTTGGGAGTACCAGGAGACAAGGTCAAGCTCTCCGTCAGATTCCTCGACTGTGAAGTATAGTGATGTGTTCATTGTAGCTGAGACTGAGGCAAAGAACAACTTATGGAAAGTTTCCCTGCATTTTTGAAAGCTATGATTGTTAATTTGTACAGAATATTTGTCAGTTTTACGGGTTAGAATGTCATAGGTTATAAGCATGTTTCTACTGTTAGTATGTGTTGAAGCGTCAGCAGATATACGCATGTATGCGCAGTCTTAGTGACCAGTAATAAAGTGGTTGTCTCTTCTTTGAAGGAAATAAAACTTTTCTCCATCTGTGCATGTTGTGTTCCGTGTACATAAGCAAACATATCTTTTTGAAAAAAATTTTTATCTGTCTGTGGATGTTGTGTTCCGCCACGATGTTCTGTTGGATTGTAATTGATGTTCACTGTTCGTGAGAATAAATTTAGCTAAACACAACCTGGCACTCTGATTGCGTTTTCTTTTGCTCTTTTTATCGAGTGCGAGGCCCATGGAACGGCTTTATGCTATCCCGTAGTATAGAGCATTTCGTACTCTAAACCGTTAGCAACGTTTCCTAAACATCGGTACTATCCTTCAATGTCGACAGTTGGTCTACTGCGTTAGTCTTTGTCACCTCGGCCTCATCAAGTATGAGGTTCACGCAGTTCTTCCATAGAACAGTACTTAGTACTGTAATTCGTCTACCATATCAGTCATATGATATTTGACGTCATTATGATCCCTCCGCATACGGAATTCACACGACAGGGGTTAATTCGCGCCACCGGCAAGTATTTCGGCAATTCCCCCTTAGCATCCCAACGGAGATTTGGGCCTCCGTCGTTTGACGCATCGCTAGGCGCGGGCCGAAGAAGGGACGTGAGGACGGGTGACGTAGGACGTGGTCGCCGGGGTCGAATCGTGATTTCGTCCGTCGTGTGAGTAGAGCTTTAAGGAATGCTTCAATAGTAGTGTCCAGAAACTACCGAAAAATTGACCTTGTATGGACGGCTCATGCTATGCCATAGTTCAATACGAAGTATACTCAAATTTTTTCAACACTTTTTATTAAACAAGTATGCAGTGAAAAAGCTACGGGCTCTCCGATATTAGACTGTAGAGATAGGGAAACTACTCCGCGGCAACATTACGTCATAGCACTGTGGAAGCAACAAAACCAACAAGCTTATGCGTGTTATCAAGCCATGAAATGGTAAACAAGTTTGCTCATGTTTATCTGATTTTGCCTTACTGACATTAATAGTGTCTTTTTTACTATGAGATTTGAACATTTTCCGAAAGTTATAGTTAAAAAACAGTCATTGTTCATTTAGCCTTCTTTTTCTTTCCTTTCTTCATAGCACCACATCTTCAGCACGCCATTTTGCCAAACATGGAGTCTGTGACTTATTGGGTCAGTGTGTGGCCGCAAATGCACTGTTTTTTTCCAATATGTATATACTCCTAATGGGGCACTAAAACGCACACTGAACAATCGTAGTATATGTATCATATTCGAAGCAAGTTAACGATGTATATCAGTCAGCGAAATCGAAACCAGCAACAAGCAGCCGTACTTGCGTTGCAAACGATTGCACGAAAGCCCCGCCTTCAAATTCGCTCCGCTCTAATGTAAAGATAAGTTGTCGTGGAGTATTTAGTAAGGATAGGGTACTTTGATGCGCACTTACCCACACGCATTGACACACACTAGGCAAAGACAGTGCACACCTATAAATATACGCGGCTGAATTATAGAGCAAGCAAATCGACAGGGGGCTTCTCTCCCTTTCTTGAAATGCATTGGAACCCCAAGTGGTCGCTAATAGCTAGTTTCCCAGTTTCGGTGTTGGTTTCGTGCGGGCGCAGTTTCAAATGTGTTATATGCTTTTTTTTGCACGTGTGTGTGTGTGTACATCACTACAGACGGTCTGTGGGTTACATTTCTGAATCACGCGAATTTTTTTTTAATGATGATAATACCCGAGATTTCGAAAATTATTCTCGAGCGCAATTCTCAATAAACGGGAAAAGAAAGCGAGAAAAGAAAATGCATGGCAAATATATATTGAATGGGACCAGCGCTCTTGCGCTTTGGCCACACCTAAATACAAAATGGTTGCTGCCACGCGAAGCTCCTCTAATCGGCGTAAGTTAAAAAAAAAAACCCACCAGGCTTGCGAGGGACGCTCTGCACAGTCACAGTGAAAGCCAGAAGAGTGACCTTTCAGAACCTATTCTAAATACCCTTAGAAGCTACAAGCACACTGCTGAGTAGCCAATACGACATAAATAATAATAATAAATTTTGTGAGGTATAGGCCAGCATTCACTATGCTATCCTTGGTCATTCTTTGGAGAAGCGTGGTATCCACTATACATTGTTGTGCAATCCTTAATGAGTGGCTGACGACATTGAAGAAATACGCCGGAAGTGGGTATACGCCAAAGCTAATGGGTGATCAATCGCCAGTTTTCTAATGAGTTGGAGCATCGGACGACCCAGACGTTACGCAATTTGCATTTATTGATCCCTGGCTGTTTCTTTGACGTTCTAAAACAGATAATTGGTCATATTAACGCACTTCCTTTCTCGAAATCAAGCCTTTAAGTTCAGTTTAGGGACAAGTTCATAGCACTGGCGTGGTTCAGTGAGGGAGAAAGACGAAGACGACGTTCTGAACAGACGCGTTTTTCATGTTCTCCGCTTCGAAGGATTTATCGGCCATGGGCCGAGGTGCTGCTCAGGCTTCAGCCAGCGGCAATGACTACCGTGTTGTACTTCCTCGCCTCCCCACCGGTAAGCTTGTTGTGGACTCTGTTTTTCTACATGCGGACTTAGCTGGTCGCCCCTACCGGGTTCAAGATTTTAGAGATACTCCTCGGGACATCATTGACTTGAAGGAAATAAGCTCGATAGGTCAATTTCAAATGTCTCATGTTTGGATGGTCACATGTAAGTTAACGCTGACGAAAACAAAGTTGGTCACAAGAGGTGAATTTTTCGTCAAAAGTCGTCGATGCCTCGTTATAGAACCGGAGCCCACGGAAGTGAAGCTGAAGCTTAAGTGGCTTCCTGAGCGCTTGGAGGACACCTATGTGTGCGAGGCACTGCAAGCTTTTGGGAAGGTCAAGACAATATCACAAGAAAGCTGGAAAGTAGCGGACATGGAACAAATGCGGACGCTAAATAGGGATGTTGTGTTGTCCCTTGCTGATGGAGTTCGCAATGCGGATATTCCTCATATTCTTGTTGTCTGCGGAGTGCAAAGCCTCGTCCTGATACCTGGCCGCCCACCACTTTGCCTTCGGTGCAGTAAGGTTGGACACATCCGTCGAAACTGCAGGACCCCTCGCTGTGACAACTGTCGACGCTTCGGTCATTCGGCCGAAGATTGTGCTATGACATACGCCAACAAGCTGCGACAGCACACAAAACAGCCAGATGATAACCTAAAAGAGCATATTATGGATGCCACCGAGGTTCTGGACGCAACGGGAGACACTCCGTCAATGTCATATGCTGCAGGCTCTACCACAAGGAATCCAGAAGAGGAAAGAAAGTCACTCGCTGTTGACACAGTTGAAACTTCTACGTGCAAAGAGCCAAGTGAATCATGCAAGCAGCATCCCCAAAACGACTCCGCACAACCCATAGCACAAGTAGGAGTTCCTATGAAGAGTGCTGTTGCGCTGACCCATAAAGATGCCGAAGAACCACCAGTACAAGATAGAGACTCTAGGCTGGATGCCGCAGAAAGTTCAACACCTGCTTGCGCTGCAGCTCCGCAGCAGCTTTTTCATCATGGTGCAGTGTCGGAAGATGATATGCAGATCTCTACGGATACAGCAATACTGAAACGTCGCGCATCGTCCAGCTCGGATTCAAGCAAAGGGAGTGACCCAGCGTCAGTGACTAGGGAGTCACGCCGTCGCCGAAAGTCCATGCCAAAGGGGAAGTGTCGCCGATCCTGATCTAGGAGGCCTGCTGGGGGCTCACGGGAAGCCTCAGCGCCAACTCTTGGGACTGATCAAGTGGGACAATAAGCGAACTAGAAGGTAGTCACCATGGCGCAGTCTGAGCGACTCCTATTAGCCACCTTGAACGTACGCGGCCTTAGGTCTTCGCAGAAACAAGCCCAGCTCCGTAGAGTTCTCAATCGGAAGCGTCTCGACTTTGTCGCCATCCAAGAGACAAATATCGAGAGCGAGGAAGAGACCGAGAAGGCCCTGCGACCTTTACTGTCTCAGTTTAATGTGTGTGTCTCACATGCTAAAGGTTTATCTGCGGGCTGTTGGTTGTTTCTGAGAAAAAGCCTACCCTGTTCAGCATTCTGCACTAGTGTTGATGAAGAGGGCAGGTATATATGCTGTGATTTTTTGTTGCAAGGAGTGCCATGGAGAATTATCAATCTATATGCGTTTAATGATGTTCCGAAACTACTTGAGTTATTTGAAAAAGTGCGTAATTTATT